TACGAAAGTTCGCGAAGAACCGGGGATGCGAGTAATTAAACCCGAATTATTTATATTTCCCTCTCCTGTCCGTAACAGGAAAAATTTCAGACGCGTTGTACCAGTGTCTGTATCCAATTGCAATAACGAAATTTTGGATTCTTTTGGATCCCAGGTACACGTAACGTAGGCTGCTCAGAAGAGATTGGCTGTGATCGACGATCTATTGGTACTCCAGTTGTCCTAATCGATCAATGCGACGATCGACGTGGTACCTGTTCAAAGATTCGCGAACGTGGACTTAAAACACCCATGAAAAGTGACACTCTACGAAAGTCCGCGAAGAACCGGGGATGCGAGTAATTAAACCCGAATTATTTATATTTCCCTCTCCTGTCCTCAACAGGAAAAATTGCAGACGCGTTGTACCAGTGTCTGTATCCAATTGCAATAACGAAATTTTGGATCCTTTTGGATCCAAATTTTGATTGGCGATCTATTGGTACTCCAGTTGTCCTAATTGATAGAATTTGGTATAGCAGTGGAGTTAAAAGGAGGGAACACTAATTATAGAAAGGCAACGCTTTAATAATTGGAAACTCGATCGGTGTGTGCTGTACAACGATTGCTTAGAGACTGATTCGTTTGAACAAAGGAATTTGGCTGACGACCGACACGTACACAATCATACATTAGTATGCAATAATCAAAAAGATTTTAACATCGACGTTATATGTAAGATATCTCGACTTATGTCTTTAGCATTCTAACATTAATCGATCAATGCGACGATCGACGTGGTACCTGTTCAAAGATTCGCGTTCATAGACTTAAAACACCCTTGAAAAGTGACACTCTACGAAAGTTCGCGAAGAACCGGGGATGCGAGTAATTAAACCCGAATTATTTATATTTCCCTCTCCTGTCCGTAACAGGAAAAATTTCAGACGCGTTGTACCAGTGTCTGTATCCAATTGCAATAACGAAATTTTGGATTCTTTTGGATCCCAGGTACACGTAACGTAGGCTGCTCAGAAGAGATTGGCTGTGATTGACGATCTATTGGTACTCCAGTTGTTCTAATTGATAGAATTTGGTATAGCAGTGGAGTTAAAAAGGAAGGAACACTAATTATAGAAAGGCAACGCTTTAATAATTGGAAACTCGATCGGTGTGTGCTGTACAACGATTGCTTAGAGACTGATTCGTTTGAAGAAAGGAATTTGGCTGACGACCGACACGTACACAATCATACATTAGTATGCAATAATCAAAAAGATTTTAACATCGACGTTATATGTAAGATATCTCGACTTATGTCTTTAGCATTCTAACATTAATCGATCAATGCGACGATCGACGTGGTACCTGTTCAAAGATTCGCGTTCATAGACTTAAAATACCCCTGGAAAATGACACTCCACCCCATGGACCATCCTTGTTACCCCCGTTCCAGGTCCCCACGGTGCATCGTGGTGGTGATGGAAATGCAAAGGAAAGTACTTACCGTGTTTAATCCGATCGCGGTGCAATCGGTTGCACCGGCGCACCCAGCCTAGCAGAACCGGTACACCGACGCGTCCGCTGATCCTACACGCATCGGATCGATTTCGAGCGTAACGTATGACGCGGCTGTAACGAGGTGCGTACGCGTTACAACGGATGGCATTGTTTTCGCGGGGGCCAAAACGTAGGCCGGCGACACGCACACGCGCGCACACGCTCGCGACTAGCCGCAGTTTATGCGAAACATTATTCCGGCATTACCTACCGGCAGGCCGCCCCTCTGTCGCCCGCGAAATCCGCTATCCTGCGAGCGGAAAACCTACCAACCGGCCGCAGGATCGCTTGTTTACCGGGCCAGCGGAAAATGATTAATCACCGCGGCCAGGCTGCGCGCCGTTGTACCGGTTAATTAATCAGATACCCGCGAAATTAGCGGTGGGACGCTTCGATCAACCGCACGCTACGATCGAACCGGGAGGAAACGTTGTTGTTACGCTCGCCGAAATACGGCTAGATTTATGGCCGTTCGTGTCTCTCTGCGCTGGCTCGTTTCCATTTCGCGCTAGGCCGTGCTTTATTTACATTTTATTCGGGCAAATGTTCGGCTAGATGGTCTTTTAAGATACATTGCGGATTCCCGATTTATTTCACGCGGACGAAATAGCCCGACGCGTGGACCGAAGGTGGTCTTTTTCAGCGAAATCGCGCGCAACGTCAGATAACGCCCGCTGCCGGCGCGACGCGCGCGCACCCGCGCACACGCGCGTTTCCCTGTTTTTCCCTCGTTCCTCCTTCCCCCCCGCCGGAATATTTTTATTTTAGATCCGCCGCGATATTTTCGGCCGGCAACGACAAATATTTATACGCCGTATAAATAATCTTCGTCGTTTATCATGCGCAGCGAGCATCGATAAAACCGTAATGGGCGAGGCCGTTTTTTGATACGGATTGCCTGACACTCAATTATGAAAAAAACGTTGAAGCACGGCGCATTCGGAATTGATGGGATTTTTTAACGGCCTCCCGTGCCAGCCACGTGATATACACCGTTCCTCCTGTTTGTCAAGAATTTTCAGAGTCGGGGGTGCACCGACACCGGACACCGTGTTTGATGGCGAACGCTCGAAAAATGCGGTTACTTGCTCGTTTCCGATTCATTCGCGAGCCCAAGGGTGCTGCGAGGTGTCTTCGAGAGTCGATCGCGAAATAGGGGGAAGCTGGTGGCATGGACACCGATTCGGTTCGAATCGAACGAGCGTAACGAAAGCATCGTCGATATCGTCCGGGTAGGAAGATGGACGTGCCAAGAGTCCTGTCCCCGTTACGTGTCCTGCGACCGATCAAAATTCAGTGTACACTTGCCCGTAACACTCGAACGATTTACTGCCACGACGCACCCCACCCGCGGCCCTCCCGAAAATCATGCCTGGGAGTAAATTCCCTCGAGGAGGGGAAAAAAATCGCTATCGAGACACCCGGTACGGAGAAAGGGAGATAGATACAGAGAGTGGGAGAGAGAGGGAGAGAGAGGATAGTCGGTGTGTATATAGTTTTAGGTGTAGTTTCAGAAAGGATGGATACGACGAGGAGGAGAGAGGTTGGAGTTGGCGCGATTCAAAGTCCTCGGAGGGTGAGGAGGACGACGACGAAATGCAGAATGGTGGGAGAGGACGTGGCGCGGCGTTGGTCGTCGGAGAGAGAGAGAGAGAGAGAGAGAAGAGGCGGGTAGGTGGCGCGAGGGACTGAGACGGAGCGAGGTCCGCGGCAGAAAAGGGGTGGAGGGTTGCTGCGGGTGAATCGGCAGTACCGTCGCTGGGAAGCTCGCGAAGGAGGGAGGGAAGATGGGGCAGGGGGTTGAGAGGTGGCGGCGGACGGCAGTAGCGACGGCAGTTGAGGCGCATGAGCACCACTTTTATTGATTCCGTAACTGCCGCCATGACTGCCGTGGCGCTTCGTAGGAGGTAGGGGTTGGCAGGGAATGGGTTGAGGGTAGTTCGTGCCAGTAGCGGAAAGAGGAACGCGGAGAGAGGTGGTGTGGGTCTGGGTGGGGTAGAGGACGGGATGAAGGAGGTGTGGGGGTTACGAGGGTGAGCCTGATGGGGTGGAAACTTTGCGGAGATAAAAAGGAACGAGGGTTGGTGTTGCCTCGGGATCGGTTGCGAGGGGATGAAAGAGGGAAAGAAGGGGTTAGACAGGAGGAATATCAACATATCTTATTGCGTACAAACATACAGCCGAAGTGGGAATAAACTTAAGATTCCTCGTGATACTCTTGTAAATACACGCCGGCGAGACAGTGTACGTGATGCATAGTTGATAAGCATGAAATATTCAAATCGTCGACGAGCTTCGTTTAAACTCATGCCGGATACGTTGCTCGCTTACGAAACGCGAGGATCGTCTTTCCAGCGCATCATGATAAAATTAATGTCGCGGCTATTTAAACTCGAACTCGTATCTTTTTTTTTTCCCTTTTTCTCCACCTCGCTCCCCCTCCGCTCTTTATTTATCTCGCGTATCCCTGTCTATCAGCGAGTGCTTCTCGTTTCGCGCATCTTCGTCGAAAGTTGGTACAGAAGCAAGGACGATATACGAACCGCGGAGTGAAACGAAAAAACGGGAGGTTCGTTAACGAATCGTCGGGTATGTCGAACGAACCCTCCGGGTCGTATCTCATAATAACGAGCGGGCGCAATATATCGGCCGAGTTGTCCGGAACGACTCGATCGAGCTGGTATCCGAGCCCCGTTGTCCATGCATAGATTAAATTATTTCAAGGGAGAGCGAAGGATCGTCGCGAGAGAGCGTTCGACACGGCCGGTGGAAAGGGCACTGGGCTTTGGATGAGCGTGGGTGTAGGCCACCGATTAGAAGGGGTAGGCAGCGATGCGTGGAGATAATTAAGCCGGCTGATCTATGGCCGTTTCACGAGTTCGCTCGTTATCTCCTCGGTAGCTCGGTGTCCCCCTGGTATTTAGTTCAGTTTCGGATATACGCAGAATCCGGAGGCTAAAACCAATGGTATCCCGCATCCCTCTCTCGTTGTGCCTCCCGCAGCCCCGGAAAGTTCAGAGTCCAGAGGTCGGCGTTCAACGATCCACGGTTTTCCGTCTCCATCCCCGATCCCTTTTGCTCCGACCCTCTGTCCCTCTCTCGCGCTCCTCCACCGCCTCCGTTTCTCCCCCCCTCTCTCTCTCTCTCTCTCTTTTCTCTCTTCCCTCCCTGTATCTCTCTCGCCCTCTCTCGCGCTCCTCTGACCCCTCCGCTCCATTCTTCTGCTCTTACTCCACCTCCACCTCCACCTCCACCTCCATCTCCTCCTCTTCCTCCTTCTCCTCCCTGCCCCACCTCCCTCTTTCGACTGCTTTATTGTCTGGAGCCGCTCCATCGAGGGTGCATCCCATTCCCGGCTTTAATTGAGACATAAATAAGGTTTGTTTGGCTTTGCCATTCGACCAGCTAGCTATCCCTGGGAATTGGGATTGAGGCTCTGCCAATACAACCCGTTCTGCATAATGGCGACGTTAAATTCTGCCTTCGCTGAAAAAAAGGAAGCTTTTCCCCGCGGCGAGACAGGTACGCGTCTATCTGCATTTATTGGACAGCTTGATTGCCCACGAATTTCATAGGATCGAACTATGCATTTCCGAACGGTTTCTTCTCTCCCGTTTCCCGTTTTCATCCTAGCCCCGCTCCCGCTACCCCCGGCGGGATTAATTAATTCCGAAAACTGATACAATCGAAGAAGGACACCGTAAACGTAGCTGTAACTCCTCGCAATTGCACATCGCGAATCGCTTTCCGCGCGATCCACGATCGACGAATCCACCGCGTCCGTCCGCGCCGTGGAACTTGCCCGTATTTCTGCCACTCTTACAGCCCGTGGAGTAATTATTTCTATGCCGGCGGCCGATACCATCTGTGACCGGTTACAAGAAAGGACCCCCGCTGTTCCTCGTGATCTTCGTTATAGCTTCTACTGAGATATCGACGCAAACAGGTAGAATTATTGCGAAGAACCACGCCGGCCAGGGAAAAGAGTCGCGGATGGACCGGTCAGCTTTGGTCTTGTCCGTTGGTAGGCGTAGGCGAGAGAAAACGTGGCGGCGAGGGACGAAGGGGGGCGAGACACGCCGGGGAAACTAATGTGCCGGTACAGTAGAATCTCGTGCTAGTAAGATCGTAATTTTCGTTAGCCAGGTATCCGAAGAGACTTACGAGCAACCTTTGTATGCTGGCGGCGGGCGGCTTTACGGGATACAAGTTAATCCCACGTGTTGGCATATATACGAACACCCTCTGACCAAACGGCCCTCCCGTTGTCGCCGCTGACTCCTCTTCTGCCTCTAACCTCGAGTGCTTGCTTTCCACCCCGGCCACCATAGCTGGCTGCAACGCTCCTTGCGTTTATTCCACCTGCACGTCTCCTCCAGCAGCCCCCTCTGCCGCCGATTCTTCGCAAAATTATATTACGCGTTATTCGCTCGAACTTTAATCACTTTCCAACTCGCAGAATTTACCTACGAACGTACGAGGTTCGCTCGCGGAATACAAAATGGCCTCGCTAATTTTTCTCGGGTTAGCCTTTGCGAAAATATAAATGACGGCATCTAGCTATGGTACCTACGTATGGTACACAAGCGTTCTGTATTTTCTCGCGTAATACGATAGTGCTTTATAGTCATTGTACCAATTATGTACAGTATCGTGTCTTTAACCGTCAACCGCGCTTCCTTTGACTGCCACGGTTTTATTTTAAAGAAAACACGAAGTTTTACAAAATATAATGATCTAATCGTCTAAGTTACAATTTTAATAGTTTTAATAATGAAAATTGATAATTAATATGTTCTCTACACTATATACATTTTTCATTCATCCTGTCTGATAATTCCTAACTCAAATGGCCATTTGTAGCCAATCTAAACTCGCAGCGCACACTACGAGATATCTCGTAGCTGGCAGTTTTGGTGCAGACGCTTACTACGAGATATCTCGTAGTTGACAGTCAGTGGGTTAAGTGGGTACGAGAAAACCCAAGCAGCGCTCCAGCGCTTCTTCTATTTTACGTCGAGAAGACCGAAGCTTAACCATGAAATACAAAATGTTTTATTTTGTAATGTATTATTGCACTGTTATTACGGTATTGTACCTATTGCAAAATGTATTATTCGCATTAAAAGAAGGAGCTGTGCGATGTACTCGCATCGGTAAATCTGAGGGCACGACTTCGACAGTCGGTGACGCACCGTCAGCTGTCGAGAACGCTCGAAATGGGCTGGGTTTTCTCGTTTCGATGAAATCTGAACAGCGCGGTCGCGCTGCTTGGGACTCAAACGGCTAATTGGCAATAGTCTGGGACCAGTCATGGTCGGTTAGAGTGGAGTATTCGATCATTCGTGAACCGTTAAGCTCGTCGCGTTTAGAGTTGGCAGTTGAAAGCTCGCTATTGTAAGGAGCAAAGATAGAGAGTAGCGACAAATCGTCATTTGTATATTTTCCGTTAATGCAAGATGGCGATATATTCTTTGCATCCGCCGTGATGCAACTTTGATTACGCCTCCTTTGTCCGGCCATGTTTATTTCCGCGCGTCTCTATAACGCGTTATTTATCCGCGGCGGGTCTCGCGTTCCCCATTTTCTCCGTTCTGACCATTCCGACGTTCCGCCGTGGCCGATCCACCCCTCCGTTGCTTTTTGTTTCCGCGTTTTAACGTGTTCATTCGAATCCGTGATCCCTCTATGTTTCTTCCATTACCGGCGAGAGCGAGAGAGGGTGCGGCGCGTGGTGCGCGCGTAACAGGAAAAAATCGCCGGCTCGAAAAAGAGAGCAAACGGGAACGGAACGGCGCGGTGGGGGGAAAAAGGGGGGAAAGGACGAAAAAAAAAAAAAAAACGGGAAAAAAATCCAGCGGTTTTTCCTGGGTAGAGGGCGACGCGTACCATACGTCACCCCCAGTTTAATCTCACCTCTCATTTATGCTACTGCGAAACGACCGAACCGGCGACCGTGGAACCCCATCAAAGCGGACTGCTCCGGCCGGTGGCGATTTCGCTGACGTATCTCGGCTGTCCGTTTCCCTTTTGTCTACCCGCTTCGCGCGGATGTAAATGTCATTGGCGCCATAGCGTCGCCCGACGAACGTTCGTTCGTTCGTCCCCCGATTAAATTGCTTTACCGTATGCAGAGCCTACCGAAATCGACGAGCGCTGCGACCACCATTTTCTTTTCCCTTCGCGCACCCTTGCTCGGTCCCCGCGAGCTTCCCAATTCCTCGCGAACCTAGATTCCCGAGTATAAACTGCAACGGGGTAGTCGCTGCATCGTCGATTGCGAATTTCTCGTTGCCAATTTTTCGCATCTTTAAAACGTTCGATTTAATGGTCGAACTCGCGAGTATTTCGCTGTTAAATACGAAAAAGCTTGGGTCACAATCGCGGAGGATGCTGTTGTCACGGTTAAGAGTGTCAAGGAAGTTCTTCTCTGGATAAATAAGGAAAATTTCGTTCGCGTATTTTCTCGGTGGCTCGTAAATAAAGCGACGCCATGAGCGTCGTAATTAATCGCGGCCGGAGTGAAACGTGGCCGTTAAGGAGAAAAATTAAATCGTCCTGTAACGATTTTATCGCATTTCCGAGATCGAGGGAATAAGGAAAAGCTATCCGGGAGGAAGATACACGCCGTTGGACGTGAGTTATTGACCGATATATGCGCCTCCAACCATGCACGGGATTCTAATCTCGCTTTCCCGCCTCCAACCACTCCGTTCCACCTTCTTCTTCGAGCTCGAACCAGCTCGTACCTTCTCTTTCTCCGTCTTCTCCTCTCTACACCCTCTCGCTCCCTCCCTCTCTTTGCTCCTCCGCGTACGCCTCCGCGGGGAGCATCTTCTGCTAATGAAACGTTGGTGAGCTACCGCCGCCTCGTGCCGGCAGCTTTTACCATAGAGCTTCCCCGGAATCACCCTCGCGACTTACTAATGCCGACCCTCCAAATCCTCCAACGATACGAGGCTCTCGATCATATTGCGCTTCGTCTCGGTTCCAGTCGCGATGCCTCATCCACGCATTCGTTAACGAGAAACGAATCAACGGGATAGGTCTCCTGATTAATTTCGCTCGCTCATCCTACCACGCGAGGACTCTGTTAAGAGGATTTACCCCTGGTCGTCCCCCTTTGTCTTGGAATAATTCTGATCTCGAAACGCCCGACGTAATTATTTCTGGATGCCTGCTCGTCCCGACCACTTCTCTTGACGATATCCCAACCGGTGTCGAGAAGGATTCCGCTTTTATGTTAATTCTCTTTCCTTCCTTTCACTCTCGAATGAACTCCACGATTTTTTAGTCCCCTTAGTGGACCTTGAAACAATCTTCGAATGAAACAATCTTGACTGGCTTTCAAACGATATCTAGATACCTGTGATTGTTTTCCAGTGACTTTAAAATCACCTCGAATTCGAATGATTTTGATACTCTTTTATGGTGTTTAAATAATGGTATTATACCTCCGCTGTATGCCTTCAAACGGAGCCGGGACGTTGGAAAAATGAACGATACAAAATTACCGGAAATCTGAAGATAGCCCGATATATTACTCGATCGTAGCTACGAATTCGTCGCGTAATGCTAATTTAAGGCGCCATCAATTCGGCTTTTCCTCCGAAACCGTGGCAACGCAAACCGGGAGGGTGCTATTTTCACCGGTAATTCCTCGCGAATGTATTCGGGAACGCGTTTGCTAGACGCTCCCGTTCTTGCACATCAGGCATGACTCTAAATCGTGTGCAATGCGCACGGACAATTGCAATCCGGGCTAGAAAAATCGCCCCTGCGAACCTCTATCTTCCCTCTATCTCGCCGGCTCTCTCTCCACGGTCGTTCAGGGCAATCATCGAACACGCAATTTCGATAATCGGCAGATTTTATTGGCCGCCAATTAGAGGGACGTACATAACGATAATTAACTCCGCACGCGGGCTGGTCCCCGGACGAGTAGTCTGGAATTTTTGCGTGTTCTTTATCGAAATGGCCCCGGTCCAACAACGGTGTCTAAGAGCCGAAATTGGAAGTTTCTCCGCGTGGAATTAGTGGCTTATCTCGTGGCGGCCATTAATCCGACCGACACGCGTTCAACTCGTCTAATTAGCCGGCGTGTACGGCCGGGCAAAAGTTTCAGTCTGGCCGTTTAAGTGCGTCGGTGTCGGTACTGGTCGCGGCATGGGTGCGCATGCATATCTAAGATGGTCGGGCGGCGAAAACCGCGGAATAGAAAGGAGACCGAGAGGACACGGGCGGGAAAAACGAGAAGAAAAAGAAAGTAAGATGGAAGCGGATGTATGTCGGGCACGTAGCCGCGGGGATTGCCTCGATGTGCCATAGAGGCAATCATGCCGGCAATGCAGAGGCCCATCTTACCACGTTACCGCCCTGCATATACCTACCCCCGGCTATTCCGTATATATTTACTGTCTCCGTACTTCCACAAACTGTGCTCCCTCTTTCTCCCTCTTTCCACCCTCCTTTTCCCTCTTCCTTCCTCTTTCTACCCGTCTTTCCTTCCCGACCACCTTCTCTCCCTTTCCCTCCTTCGCGCTGCTCGGCACGTACTTCAAAGAAATTCGCGAGACGCGGAAATCCGAACGCGAAAATACGGAAAACTCGGGCTGTCCTCGCATTCTAATAATACTACCCTGGATTTAACGCAAGCTGCGCCTCGCACATTTTAATTGCGTCTTTCTTCGCTGATTTTTTCCCCTCTCTTCTCGGGTATCCGTTGTATTCTTCGAGTGTACCCTCTAGTCGTTTCGTGAACGCAGGTTTCTTACGTGTAACCAACGTCATCGTTGCACCTCCAAGCGTTCCGTGACCATATCGAGACCGATCGATTCGTTCGCCATTCGATAGGAACTAGAGAGAGAGAGAGAGAGAGAGAAATGGTTGAGAGAGGAAGCTCGGGATGCGTTTTTACAGAAGCCGCGAAGGCGCCGGAACGGGAAATATTCATAAATCGTATTTCATTAAAGAACGTGGCTCGTGTGCGCGAACGGTCCGCTGACGGAGAAGAGAGAAGAAAGGACGCGCGGAGGCTTGGTAGCGCATCAGCATTCAAAGTACTCTGGCAGAAGGAGGGTGCCGCTCTCCGGGACAGAAGAGGAACAAAAACCCCCCGAGAGAGGAGGATGTTGCATTAATATTTATACGGGAAAAGAGGGGCTGCCGTGGAGGCTCGAGGGGATGAGGAGCGAGTAGGAGAGGGACGAAATGAAATGCAAATGCCTTAACGAGCCACTGAGGGACTGCTGGAGCACATCCTAGTCTCGGTCACGAATGTTCCTTCCTCTCATCAACGCTTACGTTATAACGCGTCGCGACTAATCCTCTTGCTCGTCCACGCGGACGGCGACTTCGTTTCACGCTCGTTTGGTTCTCCGGTCGCTTCGCAAACAGGAAACCAATTCCGATCGAGACACGTTCACGGAATAGCCCAGGCAAGTTCTCAACCCGGACTAGCCCCTGATCAGGGAGCCGGGACGTTGGAAAAATGAACGATACAAAATTACCGGAAATCTGGAGATAGCCCGATATATTACTCGATCGTAGCTACGAATTCGTCGCGTAATGCTAATTTAAGGCGCCATCAATTCGGCTTTTCCTCCGAAACCGTGGCAACGCAAACCGGGAGGGTGCTATTTTCACCGGTAATTCCTCGCGAATGTATTCGGGAACGCGTTTGCTAGACGCTCCCGTTCTTGCACATCAGGCATGACTCTAAATCGTGTGCAATGCGCACGGACAATTGCAATCCGGGCTAGAAAAATCGCCCCTGCGAACCTCTATCTTCCCTCTATCTCGCCGGCTCTCTCTCCACGGTCGTTCAGGGCAATCATCGAACACGCAATTTCGATAATCGGCAGATTTTATTGGCCGCCAATTAGAGGGACGTACATAACGATAATTAACTCCGCACGCGGGCTGGTCCCCGGACGAGTAGTCTGGAATTTTTGCGTGTTCTTTATCGAAATGGCCCCGGTCCAACAACGGTGTCTAAGAGCCGAAATTGGAAGTTTCTCCGCGTGGAATTAGTGGCTTATCTCGTGGCGGCCATTAATCCGACCGACACGCGTTCAACTCGTCTAATTAGCCGGCGTGTACGGCCGGGCAAAAGTTTCAGTCTGGCCGTTTAAGTGCGTCGGTGTCGGTACTGGTCGCGGCATGGGTGCGCATGCATATCTAAGATGGTCGGGCGGCGAAAACCGCGGAATAGAAAGGAGACCGAGAGGACACGGGCGGGAAAAACGAGAAGAAAAAGAAAGTAAGATGGAAGCGGATGTATGTCGGGCACGTAGCCGCGGGGATTGCCTCGATGTGCCATAGAGGCAATCATGCCGGCAATGCAGAGGCCCATCTTACCACGTTACCGCCCTGCATATACCTACCCCCGGCTATTCCGTATATATTTACTGTCTCCGTACTTCCACAAACTGTGCTCCCTCTTTCTCCCTCTTTCCACCCTCCTTTTCCCTCTTCCTTCCTCTTTCTACCCGTCTTTCCTTCCCGACCACCTTCTCTCCCTTTCCCTCCTTCGCGCTGCTCGGCACGTACTTCAAAGAAATTCGCGAGACGCGGAAATCCGAACGCGAAAATACGGAAAACTCGGGCTGTCCTCGCATTCTAATAATACTACCCTGGATTTAACGCAAGCTGCGCCTCGCACATTTTAATTGCGTCTTTCTTCGCTGATTTTTTCCCCTCTCTTCTCGGGTATCCGTTGTATTCTTCGAGTGTACCCTCTAGTCGTTTCGTGAACGCAGGTTTCTTACGTGTAACCAACGTCATCGTTGCACCTCCAAGCGTTCCGTGACCATATCGAGACCGATCGATTCGTTCGCCATTCGATAGGAACTAGAGAGAGAGAGAGAGAGAGAGAAATGGTTGAGAGAGGAAGCTCGGGATGCGTTTTTACAGAAGCCGCGAAGGCGCCGGAACGGGAAATATTCATAAATCGTATTTCATTAAAGAACGTGGCTCGTGTGCGCGAACGGTCCGCTGACGGAGAAGAGAGAAGAAAGGACGCGCGGAGGCTTGGTAGCGCATCAGCATTCAAAGTACTCTGGCAGAAGGAGGGTGCCGCTCTCCGGGACAGAAGAGGAACAAAAACCCCCCGAGAGAGGAGGATGTTGCATTAATATTTATACGGGAAAAGAGGGGCTGCCGTGGAGGCTCGAGGGGATGAGGAGCGAGTAGGAGAGGGACGAAATGAAATGCAAATGCCTTAACGAGCCACTGAGGGACTGCTGGAGCACATCCTAGTCTCGGTCACGAATGTTCCTTCCTCTCATCAACGCTTACGTTATAACGCGTCGCGACTAATCCTCTTGCTCGTCCACGCGGACGGCGACTTCGTTTCACGCTCGTTTGGTTCTCCGGTCGCTTCGCAAACAGGAAACCAATTCCGATCGAGACACGTTCACGGAATAGCCCAGGCAAGTTCTCAACCCGGACTAGCCCCTGATCCGCGTTTTTCTCGATAATTAACGCGATACAGACGAGGCGGGAAAACTTGGGGGAGTTGCATCTCTCTGGCAACGGGCAAGCCAGGAAAATGCGCGTCAAGCTCGTGCGAAACAGTTTCTCAGCTAATTCCCCATTTTAAGTTTCACGTGCGTGTCGACCGATCCCGTGAAACCTCATTAAACCCCTTCCGGTCTAGCGCTCCGGTATCGTAGGTTAATTAAGCCGTAGCCATATCGCGGTTACAGCTGCACCGGCTAACTTATACGGATTTACGGTTTCGTTTCACGGTCTTCCCATTGGGTGCTCGAAGAGAACAAACTCATCGAGGCTTTGTTCGGTTCGGCCTGGCAACGAGACGGCGAGCCAGAGAGAGAGGCAACCGTGATAGGCCAACGTTTGTTATTTGCAATTCCACCCGTGGGATTGCACAGGGTGGGCGGCGGGGAAGAAGGTCGAGAAGGGTAGGAAGGTTTAGCACGGCTATTATACAGATCACGTGGCGATTGGATTCCTTGTTGAGCGCGGCTACCCTGCCCAGTTCCCTCTGGCCTGCTGGCTGGCTGGCTGGCTGGCTGGCTGGCTGGCTGGCTGGTTCACCGTGGATCACTGGCTCTTTGGATGGGTGGCTGCCTCTTTGGCTGACTGGCGAGGCTGGGAGGGCTGTAGTACCCTCACAAATCCAAGTCCAACTCTACGGCTTTCATTATAAATCCACCCCCACCTTGGGTTGCGCTACCGCTATACCGTAGAGCCCCTTGAACCCCTAACTTTCAACCCGCATTTTCCACGATCCATTATATCATTCGGTTCCCTTCGCCCTCGCCACCCTCCAGATATCCTGGCAGCGCGCAGCCCGCCCCCAGAAGGGCAAAGAAAACATCGTGAATGTATTTTTCAATTTGGATCATCGCCAATCCCGAAAGCTACGCGCGAATCAGAAAACCCTTTCCACGGTTGCGTTGTGCTTCTGCTTGACGAATATCGTTTGGCAACGCTTTCCTCGGACCATTTACATATTCCGTGGGTCACGTAGCGAGCATAGTAACGTCCAGTAGTGGCTGACAAATTCGAAATTCGAATGGCCGTTGAAGGGTAGTGTCTCGCCGTACTTCTCTGTACAGGCTAATCGGGAAGTTTCTCTAGTCTAACGGGGGTGTGGGGTAGCTCGTGAATCGGGATAACCCAAAATCATCTAATTTCTCCGTTTGTACTCGAAGAGAAGTACTCTAAGCGCTCTCCCGCAGATTGTTCGATGAATCAATGGAAGCCACCGTAACGTTCAGCCGTGGATTGGATTACTTTGCTGTAATACATATTCCTCGCTTGGCTTCGAAGTCGGGCCAAGTCTACCGCGGGGGAAAACTTCGCAACTGTGCCGCTTTCCAATTTGGTAGCTCGCCAGATTGGAAAGGCAGCGCGCGCCGCCGCGGAATAAATGAAAATCTACGAGCGTCAGCCGCATTAATATCATCGCTGAGGGGGATGATTTAGACTTTTTATAAGGTGTCCTCGTAGCCATTCGTATAAACAGAGAGGAAGAGGGTGGAGGAGGTTCGCCATCCGGCTCTGCCGAGTTCAGATTCGAATTCCGTAGGAGCGCCGGATGCACGTAACGACGTCTTACCTACTCCATCCGGTACATCCAGCCCTCCTGTTATTTTTCTACCACCCACCGGCCACCCACCCCGATTCCCAAGTCCACCCAGAGCATCGAACACGTGTTTCATCCCCGCCGATCTGCCCCCAAGCCATCTCATCCGAAGGCGTTGGATGTGGTCCCAGATGCTGTTACCCAGCCGTCGGTCGATCTCCTATTTTCTCGCCAGGGAATGCCAACTTAGCGCGAGGGGGGCCTGCAAAGGTCGGGAGAATCGGCCGCTAATGCGAACGATGCTTCCACGAAATATCGAGCAATCGGGAAGTTTCGAAACTCCGGTCCGATTCGTCCGCTCGCGACTCTGAACTCGCGCGAGACTCGTAAAGGAAGTTCGCGTTCGATAGGAAGTCACAAACGCGGCGAGAGAGGGCCGCGATAAAATTTGAAAGGAACGACGAGACTGGTGATGATCAACGGGAGAACTGTTAATTGCCGCAGCCTGGAGACACGAGAGCCTGCAGCAGGGTGGACGGCAGCGGTATTATCGAGGGATGGTCGAAAGCCCGATGGCGAGACTTTCTATGTTTGCCGTGTAACGGTTACCTCGTGTCGGATGGCCAGAGGCGCATAGATGTCGGTTAAATGGCGCCACTAAAACGGAATGGGTCATTTGATTCGGAAACGATATCTCCCTTATGAGGGATCTACGTGTACCTATCCTGAGGCAACACGGGACCGCGCGATATTGTGAAAATATGCATATGGCTGGCCGTGGATTTGTAGCATGCGATCACTTCGATCCGTTTCTACCGAAGATTCATCGTTCACCTCTGTACCTGCATTTTGATAATTCGCTCCAGCCCCGGGTATCTCTCGGCTAATTATCGTTACAATTACAAGCGGCGATAAACAGGCTGAAAACAACGATTAAACCATTTTATCGTTATTATACGATACAGCGGCGAGTGCTCGGTAGCGTGGCATTACGAGATCGATTTCAACTATTTATACCGAGTTACGATAATTTGCAGGGTAGCATCGGTAAAGGACGAGATAGCTGGAATGGTTCTAAAAACGTTAAAGGAACGAATGCACGGGGCACGATGGCTGTTGTTTAGCGGCGTAATTCCGAGCAAAGTCCGCCCAATCTCGTTCAAAGTAATCAGATTCAAATTTGTTACGGCTAAGTGTCCTAATCTAGATG